GACCCCCCCTGCACCCCGTGCATGCACACGCAACCCCTTTGTGTGTGCCCTGCCCCCCACACGTGTACATGACTCCCCCGCGCTTCCCCCACCCACCTGCATGCACATGCGACCTCCCTGCAGGCGCGCCACCCTGCACATGTGTGCCCCACCCCGCACATGTAACCCCATGCATGCACCCATGATCCCCCCCATGGTGCACAACCCTGTGCATGCATGTACGACCCCTGCACATGTGCCCCACCCCCCCACATGCGCTTCATCTCCTGCATATGCCCTGCCCCTGCGCATGTGCTGCAGAGACCCAAAAACAAGCTGGCCGGCAGGAGGCACGCACACATGTCCGGTGGAGCTGAGCTGCGGCGACGACTCGCATGTCTGCCGAGAGGGCTCTGCATGCCACCTATGGCACGCATGCCCTAGGTTCACCATCATGGCATTAGACCTAACTGCTCCCACTCATTCTACCTTAAATAGATTCAATATGCAGTTCCTGGGTTTATTCCAGGTACATAGGCCAGAAATTTTACCTGTGGATCAGAAACCCCCAATCAAACTGTTGGGATCAATGTTTCTAAAAGAGCAAGTCGGTTACTGTCATACAGCACCTTTGTCTCCTAGGACTTCAGCTTGAACTTGTTTCTCATCTACTCATCTTACAACTTCTGGATACCAATCCAGGAAAGGCTTCTATCCCTTTCCTTTCTCTTGATATATACTAATTGTGTATCATCAGCATATCAATGATGCCTCAAACTGACCGATGATTCTCCCAATGATTTCTTACAGATATTGAACAACATGGGCGAAAGGACCAAGCCTTCTGCAGCCCTCCATCTTGGGACAATTATGGGCTCAAGTGCTCCCTGCCACCATGGACCTGGTATTCAGGCAAAATGATATATCAGACTTTCAATCTTTGCAAGTAGTCTAGAATGATACTGTTGGTGATGGGCTCAATAGGATGAGGAGAAGCATGTTTCCTCCATCCAAGTTCTCAAGAGAGTTAAACTAACAAGGCTCAATGGCTGTTTCTATGCCATTTTCAGGCCTGAATTCTGTTGTGGCCCACCAGCGGCCTGCGCAAATTGTTGCTGATCCCGACGAGGAGGAGGCTGGTGTGGTGTCGCACCAGCAGCCTCTGCAGCCGGCACTCGAGTCGGACAGCGAGGAGGCTGAAGAAGATGTGGTGCCAGAGGCAGGGATTCAGCCAGGGCCTTCAGAACCTCCAGAGGCTCCTTTAAGTGAAGAGGATGAAGTGGGGGAGCCTCTTCTCAATGCACGAGCACACAGAGCTGCCAAAAGGCAGGAGTGGTTACTCAGGAGGAGGTCTCCTAGAGAGTAAGGCTTGGGGCTAATTGGCCACTCCCTTAGCCTATTTAAGTTTGCACACAGCTTGTAAAAAGCTGCAGGAAAAAACATGTGTCCGTTCGTTCGCTGATCATTGAGTTTGAATTTTCTCTGCAAACCTGGCTTCTGGGCTTTCTGCCAACTCTAATAAGACTCTATTTTATCTGTGGAATTTCTGGCAGGTTGTTAAGAACGTTTTATTAACAGCCTGCATTTGCAAAAAACTGTGTTTTGAAGTAAACTGAGTTTTGTTCGGAGTTTGTGTGTGCTACATTCTTTGGGATCCGTAGCTGGGGCAGAACAAATTCTGACTAAAAGGGGTCTAGGTAATCTTCTATATTTAGGATTTTCTGTAATTCATTATCACCATCTTCTCAAAAAATCTTCTCTAGAAAAGGGAAGCTTGGAGATGATGTGGCAAACATACATCATGGCTGGATACAGATATGGCCACTTCGAAAGAGGAAGCATTGTCACCTCTTTCAAATATAGTGGCAATGCAGCCTCCTTCAAAAAACACCTCTTGCTGTCCCAGAAGCCCAGGGGAGACACAGAACATCCTATCCACTTCATTGGATCTGGAAGTATTGCGCTTGAACCCAATCATTGTGGCTTAGTATCATATATGAACCAATATTATGGCTGATTTGGGACATGTAAGGCTAACAGATTTAAAATAAGGATGATCGTGTTTTTGTGTTTGTGCGCAGTTTTCTTAGTCTCTGTGGTTTTCTTGGCAAGAGTTCAGAAGTGGTTCGTCATTTCCTGTTTTGTAGGCTAAGAGAGAATGGTCTAGCCCAAGTGACCCAGCCAGCCTCATGCCCAAGGTGGGGCCAGAAGTCAGGGTCTCCCAGTTTCTAGCCTGAGGCCTTAACCACTACAAACAGGCTCAGACAATCATTAGATGTCAATATAAAGAAAATCACGATCCTTTCCTCCCAAATTTCTGTTTATACTTCATTCTTTTCCACTTTCAAACACCCCATTGAGGTGTTGTAAGGACCTGTAAGTCACCTTCACCTGTGGCTAAATAAGGGTGTCTGGGGCTTAGTAGCATATGTCAGTGGGGAATTTATTAACAGATACCCTCATATATTTTCAGGGTTTTTTACAGCAAATAAATGTGCAGAGGAACGGAGTGTTGAGGATTCAATTTGAAGCAAGAACACAACATTGAGAAGAATCAGGTTTATTGCAATAAGTTTACAACTATTCATGTTTATAATTGGTTGTCTGCTTTACAGGGTGGATTTGATTTAAATCGAGTTGATTTAAATCACAATTTAAATCATGATTTAAATCACTAGTAAAAAGGCTTGATTTAAATCAACTCGATTTAAATCATAATTTTTAAAGAGCAACTGTCATCTCTGCTGCTCCTTTGACCCACTGTTGACTCACCAATAGTCCCAGTGTTGCAGAATATACAGCCTCCTGCTACATCACTAAGCTCCATTTCATGCTGAATAAACTAAATTATTTATGTATCTTAAATAGAAAACTATCTTACAATAGATTTTTACCCCAAAGTTTTTTATTAAAATAAATTCGATAAAAATAAAAAAAATCCGATTTAAATTTTAAAAAATCTGATTTTTTTGATTTTTTTTAAAAAATCATTGATTTTTATCCACCCTGCTGCTTTACAAGAAAGAGGGATCCTGAACAATGGAAAAGCAAAGGTTTTTTTTTGTAGGCTAGAAGGTGGAAAATTATAGTAATCTGATTTGTTGGCCAATTTGGGGAAGTCAGACAAGTCAACGCAGCTGGAGTTAGGCAAAATGGTCCTTTCAAGAGAACAGAAAAGTCGGGGAAGTCCACTGTGAAGGAGCTAAAAGGTTGAAATTGTCAGCTGATACAGAATGGATGGTTGCGATTTCTTCTTCAAGAGGAGTGTTTTTCAACCTTGGCGAGCTGAAGATATGTGGACTTCAACTCCCAGAATTCTGGAAGCTGGAGTCCACCCATCTTAAAAGCATTGAGGCTGATAAACACTGCTCTACAATGCAATTCCTTTGTAAGGCTACCTTTGGGCTGCACTGTGAGCTGGCGAAGAGCCTTCTATTCATCAGTTTAATGGAATTGCAGGGGGGCTTTGTCTGGAGCAGGAAGGGTCAATTTGGGCCTGATGGGATTAGGCAAGGAGATGAAATGGATTTGACCAGTGGTCATAGCTAAATGAGGTGGAGGGAAGGGTGCAGCCTCCATTTGTTTGCTAGATTTATTTTCTCGCCTACACAGCCCAGAGACATTCAATCTGCAAATGTGGTTTCAATCCTCAAGAATAGAGTTGCTCAAAGCTAAACTGTTGAAGCTTGGGTACAAAACACCAAGAACATACATAGAGTCTCTCTTAACCTGCAGAAGCATCCCCCCCCAATATTTGAGGGGCTGCCACAAAGAAGAAGGGGTCAACTTATTTTCCAAAGCACCAGAAGGCAAGGCAAGAAACAATGGATGGAAACTAATCAATGAGAAAAGCAACCTAGAATGAAGGAGAAACTTCCTAATAGTGAGAACAGTTAAGCAGTGGAATGGCTTTCCTTCAGCAGTTGTATGTGCTTCATCACTGGAGATTTTTAAGAAGAGACCGGACAGCCACCTGTCTGGAATGGTATAGGGCAGAGATCTCCAAAATTGGCAGCTTTAAGACTTGTGGATTTCAACTCCCAGTTATGCTGGCTGGAGAATTCTGGGAGTTGAAGTCCACAAGTCTTGCCAAGTTTGAAGACCTCTGATTTAGTTCATCTCATTTGGAAGTCACATATTTTGGAAGGAACAAATTAGGTGAGAATTCAAGACATCTGCAGAAATATTCAAGTAATCCTCGATTTATGATCACAATTGGGGACCAGAATTTCTCTTGGTTATTGAGTATACATAGCTGGCTGGAGAATTCTAGGAGTTGAAGTCCACAAGTCTTAAAGCTGCCAAGTTTGAAGGCCTCTGGTATAGGGTCTCCTGCTTGAGCAGGGGGCAGGACTAGAAGACCTCCCGGGTCCCTTTCAGCTCTATTCTGACTTAAGCTTTGTAATTTATAATTGCTGAAGCATCATAACACATATCCATTGCCCTGCTACACATGTTGAGGGTTATGCTGAGATTGGGGAAGAACCCATAGCTGCCTGCACAGATTGAGGATCTTCTAATGCAGACCAGAACAGCTTGTCCTTTTAGTCTTGGCCAGCAGTGTCCTGTCACACTTTTGCAAAGGCACCTCTGCCTTTCCTTTTATCTGCTGCTGATAGGTGCGGACTGCTTCTTTGTACCTTAATAACCCGTTGCATGCCAATTCTTCTCCCTGGGAGTGGTATCCAGACCTGATCTGGTGGTTTCTTTGTTTGGAGCCTCTCTCTGCACCTCCACCTCTTTCTCCCCGTGTTTTATTTTGTGCAACACCTGGATTTTTGCAAGGCATCCTTTGGGCCCGCAGGGTAAACAAATTCAACCCAGTAAAATGTTTGTAACGGCCGCCTCGATAGGATAAGAGGCGGCAGGGGGGTATTTTTAGATGGTTGCATCACCCCCCACCCCCCCACCCCTAAGAGCCACTGAATCCCAACCCCGACTTTCAGCCCCACCCACCGGAGCGCACCCACCGAAAGGAAAGGGAGGAGCGGAGTCCTGTCGTTTTTAAAAGGCGGCTTTGCTCAGCTCAGCCGACTCGGAGGAAGTGAAGTCAAGCCCCGCGGCGGCAAATCCACAGCTTGGGGCGGAGAAAGGAGGAGGAGGAGGAGGAGGAGGAGGTGGCTGGCGCGGCACCGCTGCACACCGACCAACCTACCTGCGGGTGCGGTAAGCGCTTTCGGAAGCCGCCTTCTCTGGCTCTCGCTTTGCGCGCCTTTCTGCATTCCCCGCCGGCGAAGCGCGAGGGAAGCCGACGAGTGCGCGTGTGCAAACAGCTCGAGGCGCCTTTCTCCTTGCGCGCGCCAGAGTGTGGAGGGGGGGAAGGAGGGCTTTTCGCGGGGGGGGGAACAACGCGATAACGTGCGGTGAGCCAACCGAGGCCCCCCCTCCATTCCCCCCCCCGCCCGCAGGCAGGGATGGGGCGCTGGAGGGAAAAAGGATCCCGCGGGCCACGGGGGGGGGTGGGAGCGGGGGGGGCGGGATGCGCCCCTCGCCGAAGCAAAAGGCGTGCGCCTCGCCCCTCCCGGGCCAGGAGGAAATGGGATGCTCCGGCCGTGCTTGAGCAAACTTGACATGACAAAGAGTTCCCGCCTTTTAGCAGCCGGGGGGGGGAGGGGGGGACCCCAGAGGTCAAGAAGTGACCGTTCTTGAGAGACGGGTGCCGTTTGTTCGCCATGCCCGGTGTTCCGCCCCTCAGAGCCGGTGGCAGGGGAGAATGGGGAGGGGGCAGCGTCTGGCTGGGCGTGAGGGTCCTGAGGGCTGAGACCAGCCTGGCAACTGGGGTGCCTCCTTCAATCCACCGCCGATTGACCTCCTGATTTCCGCCAAGGCTCCCGGGCCAGCGTTGCAGGGTGGGGGATGTGTGTGATGTCACCAATAAATGAGATTATTATTATTGTTGTTATTGTTATTATTATTTATTGGATTTCTATACCGCCTTCTCCCGAAGGACTCAGGGCGGTGAACAGAATAAGATTTCATATACATATAATATTTTTTTTTATAAACAGTAAATAATAAATTGAGTCAACTTAGTGTATCTGCTAAGACCCTGGCATAGAATATTTGTAGTCCAGGGTTAAAATTAGCTGGGGTGGTGGTGGTGGTAGTCCTTGGTGTTCTCCGAGCTTGCTTTTTTTCTTTTTTCTTTTTTTGAAAAACTTTTTATTTTTAAACAAACAAAACATAAAACATCCATTATCCATTACAATTTCAAACTGTGTCGGTGGGTTACAAATCCCTTGTGCTTCTTCCCCATATTCATATTTTAATAATTATCTAATTTCTCATATTATCAACCTGATATATATCTTTATATCATTATCCTCATTTGTCATGTATTTAACAATGGCATTATCATTCCCGAAAAATTATTTTCACATAACATTCATTTTATATTTCATTTCCATGTTTTATTATCTAGCCATTGGTAAAATAAATCCCATATCTTATAATATGGTTTATCTTCTTGTTCTTTAATTTCAAATGTCAATTTACTCATTTCAGCACATTCCATGATTTGCTTAATAACTTCCTCTTGCGTTGGTATTTTCTCTTTTTTCCAGTTTTTAGCAAACACAATTCTAGCTGCTGTCAATACAGTCAAATCAAATATCTCAATTCTCTATTGTATGTTTCTGGCATAATTCCTAATAAAAGAGCTTGCTTGTTTTCTTGCAGATGTTCCATTACCCCAGAGGTCTTCAAACTTGGCAGCTATGCTGGCTGGAGAATTCTGGGAGTTGAAGTCCACAAGTCTTAAAGCTGCCAAGTTTGAAGACCTCTGCATTATCCTGAACTAGGTAAACATCTCTAGGGTGTGATGTGCTTTGTAAACCATGGTTTGGGATGAGGTGTGTTTCCAGTTATTGATGGTTTGTCTTGCACAGGATGGCGATGAGTTTAACTCAGACCTTTCAGAGGGCTGTGGGTTTTTTTTTTTGTTTTTTTTTTAAACTTAGTTTCTCTGGCCTTGCAAGTGCATCATCTCAGAAGAATTGCCCTGGCCTCTTTGCAGTTTTAGGGCAAGCGCTGTGGGACTCATGAAGTCCACTGCCCTTCTGCTGATCTTGGGGCACCCCAGGCTGACAGAAAGGTATATTATATTTCATAAAGCACTGGATGATGGATAGCCCAGATATGCTTTTTTTAAATATAATTGACAACATTTTTAAAAATATAATCGACTGGGTTTTGCTATGCTCAGGAATTGATTTGCAGAAGAGACTTTGGAATGTTCAAAAGTACAAATTTCACATTTCCCAAAACTCATTAAAGTAGCTGTGTCTGTACTTGCTGTGAGGAGGGATCCTCGCTGCGCAGCCTTAATAAGTAGGGTATCTTTCATTTCTGTAATCAAAGTGTAGATGGAAATGGGTTTACGCATGTAATGATAATTCAGACAAGACTAGATGAGCTAAAAACTGTTCAGACCATAATTGTGTTTCAAAAATAATGTTCTGTACATTCTCGTAGAGTTGTGATTGTAAACCTACCTTGGATATAAATTAATCTGAAAAACAAGTACTCAGTCTATTTTCTAATTCAACCTTTCTTGACTCCAAATCTTGCTTTGTCTAACTATTCTTAATATTTGCTTCTCCCATTGAGAATCAAGCTAGATTTGATGGGAGGAACAGGGAATTAAAGTGCTTTGCTCAGCCTCATGGGCCTTCCTTCCGATCCTTTCTTTGCTTATAGCTGTAGCAAAGGTATTCAGTGAGGCAACGCCTTAATATGTTTCAGTGGGGAGTTTTAAAATATATGTGGGTGATGGGCCTGTATGACTTAAAATCCTGTCCCTGTAAAATTTTAGATGAATAATTATAAAAATATTTTTTTACCTGTTTATTTGCATCTCAAAACAATATACTTGGTTGCTGTGAGTTGGCATACATAATATTAATGTGTTTTATTAATGTTTTTGGAATTAATTTGGATGCTAAGTATGGTCATATCAAGCAAATTGTAAATGGCTGATATGGGCATTTTGTTTGGTAGAATTTTATTTTAAAACGGTCATTCTGTATTTTGAATGGTGATTTGTCACTTATTTTGCTTTTGGCATTACTGTTTTTTGAAGAGTAGCAACTGGCAACATTTTGTGTCTCTGTATGAACACATGCATTTTCAAGACAACCCTGTCTCTTGGCAACTGCCTGAACCCCTGGGGGTTTTTTTGGCAAGGATTTTCAGAAGTGGTTTGCCATTGCCTCCTTCTTAGAGCTGAGAGGAAGTGACTGGCCTGAGGTCACTCACCTGACTTTATGCCTAATCAGGACTAGAACTCAGTCTCCTGGTTTCTAGCCTGATGCCTTTAACCACTATAGATAGTCTTTGAGTTATGATTTTGACTTATGACTTTTGAAGACCGTTTGAAGCTGTGAAGCTCAGAAAGGGTCTCTAAAACATTCTGGCCATTGTAAAGTGTTGCACTAACTCCCCTTGCTCTGTGCAATCACATGACTGGGATTTGGGTGCTTGGTTAACTTATTACTGGTTGTCAGTGTCCCCCAATGATCATGTAATTTTCCTTTGCAATCTTTTTCTCCTGTCTTCCCCAGAAAGTCAATGGAGAACCCAGCAGGGAATGTTGCAAACTTCTCCTGCCTTCTGAAGAATTTCCTTTCCCCTCCCCTCCATAAACAGGGGGAGGGAGAAGCTTTTGTTAGGCCTTCAGGATCACCAAACTCAGGCCTTCAGGATCTCCATTTCATCTCCAACAAAAGTTCCCTTCCACACACAGAGGGGAGCTGATTGCCCTCCTTCAGCAGGCATCTGTCTCATTCCATCTACTTAATGACCCAAGCAATCATTTAACAATTGCAACTGGGAGATTTGGCATTGCTGTACTTCAACAAAGCAGTCAAAATGTGTATACCAAATCAGTAGTGGGTTTCAAATCCCGGCACTACCAGTTCGCTATTGGTAGTGCATGTGCAGCGCTTCTGCGCATACACAGAGCGTTTTTGATGATATCTGGGCGGGTGGGCGGAGCCTCCCACCACGGCCATTACTGGTTTGCCCGAACTGGGGCAAACCAGAAGCAACCCACCACTCTACCAAAACCCTCTTGGCATCTAACTAGCTAAAATAAAAAATATTGGTAATATATATCTTTTGCAAAATAAAAGATTTCAATGGTTGAACTTACCTCAGTGTTTAATTGTAGTTTTAGAAGTGCTTTTCGCTTAAAATAATTGAAAATTGTGGGGTTTTTTCCCTTTGAATAAAAATAGTATAACTTATTTTTTGATGTAGTGATTAAGATGCTGTCCTAGAAGCTGGATGACTGAGTTCCAGTCCTCCATTAGGCATGAAAGTCAATTGAATGACTGGATCAGTCCCTCTTTTTCAGTCCAAACCACCTCACAGAGGGAAGAGTATTAGTATGTGTTTGTTGCCTTGAATTACATGTGAAAAAGATGGGTAAAAACCAGTACAGGTATTCTTCATGAAACAATGGCAACTGGGATCAGAATTTGTCATTAAGCAACACAATAATAAAATATAGTGTCCTGTAACTTTATTTCTGAATAAATCTTTAATAAAATTTATAATTATTTTTAATGTAACTTGTGCCTTAATTCTGTTTGGTTTTATAATTGTATTACTTTATTGATTTATTAACCCTTTGCTATTTTGGAATAGATAGGCATCAAAACCCCAAAGAAACAATGATTTAAGACAGCACTTGTGGCTTAGCTACAGCTTTTATCTATCACAGTGATTTCCTGTGGCTGTGGCAAGTTTAATTCAGTAAAATTTGCTGAGCCAAAATTCCCCAGTCTTGCTTAAGAAGATTTAATGAACTAAAATAATAAACTTTGCATAGAGTTTTGAAAATAATTTTTTGTAAGATACTTGTACATTTAGCTCTCTTAGCCACTTTCAATTTTACTTCCAGGAATAGTTTTCCTGGTACTTAGAAACTGAATCTTATCTAATTCTGACAGTTTATTTCCTTAATAAATGTAGTCTTTGCTATCTGAGTCATGCCATGGAGTTTCTGATTATGATGACCGGTATGGTGACAGATTTTGCACTGTTGTTTCACTTATGTGGCCTAGCTTAATATCTGTCCTATACAATTTGCAATATTTAGAATTGCTTAGAAAATAATGCCTGCAAAAACACGGCAAAATTAGATGACAACAGATTATGGTGGTAATTTAAGTATTGAGTATAAAATAAATATTAAAAGTTTTAAT